GTGCCGATTGGTCTATACAATATAGGTCTAGCCCTATAAGCCAAAAGGCGTGGAAATGGGACCTTTACTGGTTTACTTATATATATATATGTGTGTGTGTGTGTATTCAGAAACGATAAGTTGTAAACCCTCTGGTTCCGTGCTACGGATATCGCAACCCTCAGCCTTGATTCCATGATAGATACCGTAAATGTGGGAAATATGTGGCATTTCTGCCTCCCCAGACTGTGAATTCGGTCCACAAGGAGCTTGTCACCCGGTCACCGCGCAGATGGTTTCATAAACTTAGCTAGCACGTCGAGCAGCAGCACACACACACACACACACACACACACACACACACACACACATCTAGAGAGCCACCGTGGTTTAGCTGCTTGACGCTAGCCTGCGGATCGGAAGGTCGTAGGTTCAAGTTTTGATGGAGCTGGACTTGGTTTTGTTTATTTTTAATGACCTTGGCTGTCAGGTCGACCCAGCCTTGAGTGGGTATCATGTACAGTCATGGGAAGTAAAGGCGGTTGGCGTGATTCTGAACACAGGATCTAACAAGTGCCGATAGGTCTATCAAATATGTTTGGCCCTACATGTCCAATACGTCTGAAGGTGTGGACAAGAGTCCTTTACTTGTACTTTTACACACACACACACACACACACGACTGAAAGAACATTACTTGGGGGCAAAGACATGGGAGACAACATAGGCGATGTAACTAGGAGCATGGTTACTTCGAAAACTAAAAGAACAGTACTTGGGGGGCTATGACATGGGAGACAACATAGGCGATGTAACTAGGACCATGGCTACTTCAAAAACAAGCAATTATCGGGGTTGTGTACCTTGGCATGGCTGTTGAAACGAGACTTCTTTCCACAAAAAGCTAATCATAAGCAGTATATACGTCTTTATTTTAATAATATCTGCGTGATAAAATGTGAAGTTTAACACATTTTTGTCATGCATTTTATTTGCAACCTTTATTGATGACATATTTTTTACAGATCCTCCCTCTGAAATAAATGCTTACTTACCTAGTCGGTCCTCTTCTACCTTGGGGTGTAGAGGTTGTCAGAGAGATCGCTAGACTTCTCTATCAGCAGTTTTTTCTGGCTTTGTTCCATTCCAGTCCTCTGTCAGTCAGGGACTGTCGGGTTTGTCTTCCCAGCGGACCCTGAGTCGCCCCAGAGGTCTAGTCTCCTGGTTCTTAGCCATCCATGCCTGCCACGGCGGCCGATTTTCTCCCATTCTGCATTTATATCCAAATCATCTTAGGTGTGACTTATCTACTCGGATTGGTAAGGCCTGTGTTTTAAAATCTTGACGTATTGTTTGACTGCGGGCTTTGTTCCATCTTGTCACTTGGACCACCCTTTTAAGATATATAATTTATGAGGCCTGAAGCTGGCTTCTGTGAGCTGTTATCATTGCCCATGACTCACACCCGTAGGTCAGGACTGGCACACAGGTGGAGCGGTAGACAGCCATTTTCGTCCTCTAGCCAATTTCTGTTTTGCTAAGAAACCCTCAGTTTATGGCCTGAAAAAAAAAAAACTGACAGCAGCTGCTTTTAGTGTAGTCAGCTCAGTCCTAATGCCCAAATTTGTCTATTACAACTCCAATGCATTTGAACTGTCTGACCTGTTCCAAAGCATGCTGCCCCATCGTGATCTAGTGTTTCTTCTCCTCTCTTGAGATCAGCAGGTTTTTAGTTTTGGAGACACTGATGGTCATCACTCTTCCCAAGCTCTTCATTCTAGACAAGTAAGTTGGACTGAAGGTCTGCCTCTGATTTAGCTATCAGGGCCACATCATCTCCAAATGCCAGCTCTGATATACAGATTGGTCTCATCTTCCAGTACCCTACAAAGTCCTTATTTATCTTCTTCTTACAGGTCTTGATGACAACATCCATCATAAGAATGATGAGGTAAGGTGAGAGAATATCACCTTGTCTAACTAGTGGTCTTAAATTATTTTTGCTTTTGGTCTGCTGTTCTTACATAATTTCTGCAGCTTTGTAGAAACTCTGTACTGCACTAATTAGGGGCGCGGCAATATTTTCCCCCGCCAAGCAGTCCCAGCGCTTGCTGCAAGGAACCTTATCAAATGCCTTTTCTAGATTTAAAGAAAAAAAAAAAAAACTAGGTGCATCTCACTCTTATATTCAAGGGTTTTTTCACTTATCTGTCTGAGTGTGAAGATACGGTCTTGAATACTTCGGTTTGCTCTGTAGCCGCATTGGGCCTGATCCAGCTGTGGTTGTGCCAGGCTTCTCAGTGTAAATTTTACCGGGAAAGCTGAGGAGGGATATGCCTCTGTGGTTTCCACATTGTCTGTTATCACCGTTTTTAAATATAGGTATAACGATGTCAATCTCCCAGTCTTTTTGTATAGTTTTTCTACACCAGGCTGCCTCGAGAACCTTCATGAGAAATCGCTCACCTGCGACTTCCATATATTTAACCATCTCTGGTTGAAAGGAAGGTTGCATCATAAACGATGAAATCCGAAGGAAGATAGGAATAGCTCTGGACTTATTTAGAAAACAACAGGTGGAACGGTTTGGCCATCTAAAGCGCATGCCAACCAACTGTATATCACAGCAGGCAATGATTTACAGATCAGGCGGGAAGCGAAAAAGATATCAACCATGCAATCGCTGGACGTGGGAGTCACAGTGTCAATTGGAATCCCTATTTACGAAAAGCACAAATTGGCACTTTCCCGCAAATTATACTTCAATTCGCCACCGCAGGATACAAGAGAATCAAGTAAGATGAGATGAGATCCGAAAATCAAAGAAGATTGGAGATTGAAACTGAAATATATTGTCCATATCAAGCGCCACAGCGGAATGGACAGAATATTAACAGATGGCATGTTGTCAGGGCGGAGTGGCAGGCGCAGATTATCACAAAGATGAGCATATGATTTAAGTAGCACCTTTGGTAGGAAAGTGCATGAGGCAGGAGATCTGACGGTTGTTCGAGATTCTTTCAGGTAGGCTGTGATAAGAGCGACATTCTGCATAGGACATGCTACATGACGATGATGACCACACAAAACGGGGTCATTTGTCTCAAGCAGATCAGTTTTACAATTTGTTAGGGGTAATCGAAGCTTGCATTTCCTGTCAGTGGCAAGATTATCGTTGTTATATAACAAACGAACCCCGTGATACCATTTCGTTGACTTCCTTCTCACAAACTCATTGGATGTTTGTGACTTGGTAATGGCTCATTGTATCAATGTAATAGCTTAATGTATCACTTTAATGGCTTCCCTGTGTATGTTCCAGGGCCCTTTGTGGGGGAAACAGGAATAGACATACTGCCTCCCCAACAAGCATGTCTTAAGAGTCGACTAACTGGGGGCTTCCTTCGAGTCGGAGTGCATATGTCTGTGAGGCAAGGAACATGCAGTCTGCAAACAGATAAATCAGATGTGTAAAGCAGATGTGCACGGAACACTCAGTTTTGGAACAAGACTTAAGTCCAGAGGTGGCAATATCCAAAAATGTCCGCCGGAGTTTACAGCCAGTAAACGTGAAGAAGAAGATGAACTGTAATGGCACATTGTAGCACAACAATGGCTCAGTGTAATAATGCAATAGCTCAGTGGGCTTCTGTAATGGCTCAGTGTGTCCCATTAATGGCTCAGTGTATAACAATCATAACTCATTGCATCACAGTAACGAGTTTTTGTATCAACTTTACCTACAGTTCACTGAATCACAATAATGTCCAGCCGTGTCACTGTAATGACTAAATGTGTCTTCGTATATGCAAAGTAGGGGACGCAAACTTCGCCGTCAGTTGTGTTATAAGTCGCAATTATTTCACACAACCGAAAGGGGACAAACCTATCCTAAATCATTTAGTCGCGAGAAATATCCTGTGAAGAATTGTTAGGATATGTTTTGAGTAGGCTTCAGTAGATCTAACCTGTATCCAGCCATAAAAGCTGCTATTTGTGCAGTTGCAAATTTTTATTAGTTCTGTTTAAAATACTTAATGCATTTGTATGAATTTAAAAACAAAAATGGAAAGGGTAATCATTGCTTCACATTCATTGAAGGTTGTCATAGTCTGTCCATAAATGCAGTTATTCAGTTTCGTCCTTTTTAGGATGAAATTGTTTGGGTTTTTTTTTTTCAAGCCTCTCTCTGGCTTTTGCCAGGGGCCGCAATATAGGCAGGCCATAAATATGGCCAATTGTCTGAACGCGGTTTTTTTGTGACCTCTCCACGGTGATCCTCACCCGCATGGTGTCATCGGGTGTTTATCGCTTGTGTGATGCCCTGGTGGGGTAGGAAGTCAGTCAGTCCATAAACTACTATACACTTCCGTCCTTTTTAGGATGACATTTTTCGTTATTTGAAGCCCTACTCTGGCCAGGGGCCAAAATATAGCCTAGAGGCTGAACGCGGTTTCTGGGACCTCTCCACGGTGATCCTCACCCGCATGGTGGCACATTGTGTCATCGGGTGTTTGTCGCTTGTGTGCACCCAGTCATTCAGTCCATACGTGTTAGTTAATATTGATCTCTCTGTGAGGTGCAATTTTCCTCTATTTTGAAGCCCCGCCCTGGCTCTTGCCAGGGGCCGCAAAATAGCCCGGCCATATGATATGGCCAATTGTCTGAACGCGGTTTCTGGGACCTCTCCACGGCGATCCTCATCCGCATGGTGGCACGTTCTGTCATCGGGTGTTTGTCGCTTGTGTGATGTCCTGGTGGGGTGGAAAGTCAGTCAGTCAGTATACATTACCTTTCACGACAAAATAAAAGTTTACAGAGTAATTCCTTTTTTTTTTTTTTAGCAACATTCTGAGAACCGCTCCTTCAAAAAAGCATACGACTATTGACCTCTGGAAGTCTTCCGGGTTAAAAGTTTGTGTTGCCAGTGGTAGCTTTGGGCTACATATGGGTTGGAGATGGATGTTTTCAGCGCTGTATTTAGTAAATATCTCAATGTAGGCCACAAATAATTCCCCAAAATGGATAATAAACCCAGCGAGTGCTGTTGGAAAGCAGTGCTTGTCGTGTGTCGATTTTTGGGGATCGTAACAGCGCTAGGTAAGATTCAGTAGGACTGCACTGGCTTAGAGTACACATCGCACTTGTGCTGTGCTGACCTCGTGGTCCGGGCAGTCGGAAGACGTGTCAGGTCGCTTGTCAACAAATGCCCTCACTAGTTGACCCCCAGAAGCATGTTTACATGCGAGGATCTGACATAATTTCCGTAGGAAACTAGTTGATTAAATATTTATTAACTGGTTACTGCATGAAATAAATTAAAAGGGCCAAAAGTTGACGGTCTTACACTCTTACATAATCAATAATCAACAATGTTGGGCTAAAGATAAAGTTTATCATAAACATATTTCATCACACATCACAGCAGGAGGTGAGGAAAAGCTTTTGTCGTGGTAGGACAACACTGATAAATCTTCTTGAATAATAGTATTGAAAGTTCTTCCTCTAAAAATTATAAACCGATAGAAATAGAATCGGGCTAAAAATATACACACATACAGGAAAAACTTAATTTATTAATTATAGACAGTCCTGACATAAACAAAAGAAAATATACGTCTAATGAATGATAAGACTGTGAAGTTATGATTTATCACAATCGACGTCACTGCATATTAGGCATTCCCAGTCCTAAGATGCAGCAGCCACCTCAAGGTGCTTCTACTAATTGTCCCTGGTTGAAATGTCTCCTATCTTGGCTTTGAAGGTGGCAGTGATAACAGAGGGTGGGGGTTTGAGTTGATGCAGGCTTATGCTCTTTTGGAGGTAAACAGAAAGAAGAGAACCTTTTTTTTTTTTTTTTTTTTGATTTCACACCAAACAGCCTAGTAGATATACTGAAATGTCTTTGTAAACAATTTGACCCAGTCTTGAAACTAAGACTAACCAGTAGACTTGATCTTAGTTTTACTTCTTCACAAACTGATCTGGACATATAATTTTAAGTTTAGACTGACTAAGACTGCAGATTACTGATACTACAGACTGTTTGCATATTACCTGTGGTTGCAAATGGCTATTGCATTAAGTCATTTGCAAGTGACTATCAAACTCTTGTAAGTGCTATTATTTAAGCACTTATTAGCCTAATGCTACAATAATAGCCTTTTGATAAGATTATTAGTTACCTATGTCAGACTTGGACATAACGAAAGAAAACTAACAACCTTTGAGATGTTTGAAAATGGCTGTGAATAAAGCCAGAAGAGAAAGAGTGAGAAACGGTGTGATCACAAGAACTGTTGGAATAACACCAATCATTGAGAAAGAAAGAATGAAATGGTTTGGTCATCTAATGAGAATGAAACCAACGATGCCAGCAGCAAGAGAATTTGGTTAGTTGTCCTTTACAGGAGGTTGAAGAACCAACCCCTTGCAGTTGTGTGGATTCTCTAGGCTAATTTACATCTAGTAGTTTGCCATTGCTTTCTAGATAGTCGGCCCCCTGTTACCACTGTCGAAACCAACGCAAGGCGCATGACCCATAGCTGGGATCGAACCCGGCACCCTGGCATTACAAAGCGTTCCTCATATACTTAGCCACAGAGCCGACAGCAAGAGAGTACAACCTGAAAATCAAAACTTCAAGAGGCAGGGGAAGACCGAGAAGAAAATGGATTAAAGGAGTCACTGACACCTTGAGACTGCATAACATCATGGTATATCAAGCGACTGAGCACCCTGGCTCGGATGCCGATCATCTGGTGAACTGCGACGCCTAGTGGCATAAGCAGATATTGACTAAAGAAGAAGAAGATAAGATTATTATTATAAGGTTTTTAAAATCTGCTTCCTTTCCCCTTCCACACTTCCTTTGACTTTACAATGTGTAGCTTTTTAAAACACCGCCTAACCAAGAACTACATGAGCATATGTCTGAGAGCTTTTTCTTCCTCTGCCCTTTATCCCAGATACTGTGGCTTAGAGGTTAGTGAAGGTGTTTAACAATTCCATGATCCATAAATACTTGGGTTTGATTCTGCCATGGACTATGTATTGAAATGTACAAAAATATTCTTGTTTTCTGATGGCGTGACCTCTCCTCTCATGACGACTGGTTTGTGACCACTTTCTCCCAGCTGCTTTATCACTTCTTTTTCTGTGCATTGTTTGATGTTTTCTGTAACTATAGTTAGGTCTAGTATACTTGTTGTTTGTCATCCTGTGAGTAGAAGGTTGGTTCAAAGTCGGGTCCGTTGATTAGTATCAGCAAGTTTTCTACCAGCCATTCCTTTAAATTATATCCTCCTGCATCCAGAAGGACAAATAGCCTCGAGCAGATCCCCAACTAAGAGAGTGGCTGTTGAAATCACAGAGAATTAGGTGGCTGTTAAGATACTCTATAGTTTCAGTTTCTTGTTGTGCTTTCCAATTTGATATTTAGTCTAGATAGTGTACTATGTTGTCACTGTGTCTTTAATATAATCAGAAACTAACAAAATAAAATGAATATTATATTTATAAGCTTTGTTATGACTATTTGAGGAAAAATTTTTGAGAAAAAAAAATAATGTGTTGTATAATGTGTTGTGTGTACACGAACATGTGCATGCATTAAATATTCAATTAAGAATAGACATCATAGCACTCCCATTAATGCTCCGTCCCAATTTTCTGTGGCAAGTGAAGAGTTCATTCAGTTCTGATGGTACCAGTAACATGTACACGCGTGTGTGAAATAATTGAAGTAAACCTTTCTTTCTCTCTTCTATTTCAGTTCTTTGGGGTGTTGGTGTGGAGTATGTCTACTATGGAACAGTTTTTGGAATTTACTTTATGTAAGTGCCATTCTTCACTCACTTTAACACACTGAAGTTAAAAATCTCATGTCTGGGCCATATTGATATTTTGTTGGCTCATAATTTTACACCAGCCAGCATTTATTTGGTAATGTAGTAAGTATCAGCACTCTGGTCACTTTTAATTTTTAGGAAAATTTGCCCTTACCTGTTTTTCTGTTCTGGACCAGGATGTGAGTGTGCTAGCAACTCTGTGACATGCAGCTAGACTCTTTTGGTACCAAACAGCACAGTGTGCACGACTGCATTCACGCACCAGTGAACAGGTTTTTTGCATGTACATAAAATGTTGATAAGACCAGTTTTATATGGCTTTGAAACCTGGAGCACAGCTTCAAGAAATGAAGCCTTATTACATTTTTGAAAACATAGTCTAACGGTGTATCTTTGGACCCATTAAAGATGCAGACAGCAAGAATGGGGAGTGAGAAGCAACAACAAAATTCATAATCTGTTTAAATCACTATTGATCACTGGCATCATGAGAGCTAATAGACTGAAATGGTTGGGGCACATTGAGACAATATCAGATGACAAAGAGGTAAAAATTATACACAAGGGAGCTGAATGGTTGTAGACCACGAGGCAGACCAAAAAGATATGGAGAGATAATGTCCAGACAGACCCACAAACACTTGGTATCACCATCTAAGTAAGAGAAGGCCAACCAGAGAGATGCATGGAAGCAGGTGATATCTCCAACAATAAACCTCAAGGGCTGGGAATGCTGAAGCAAAAGTGTACATTTTATGTTGAGACATACTCTCAACAACACATAAGATTCCTACAAGGACTGTGTATTTAGCTCCTGTGGATATATTATACCCATGATTTTTTTTTGCTGTCATTATTGCCTCATTTTGGCATCAGCTACGAACATCCGGCCAGAGTCATTGGTGTAGCAGCTAGATGCTCACCTGGGGATCAGAAGGTCATGGGTTCGGGTCTTTGCTGAGTCTTTTTTTTTCTTCAGAAAAATAACCTCGTCTCTCAGGACGACCCATCCTTGAGTGGATACCAGGTCTAGTCCTGGGAAGTAAAGGCAGCCACAAAGTGCTATTTGGTCTATAAAATGTAGGTTTCCTATACGTTCCATACAACAGAAGGCAGGGAAAAGAGTCCTTTACTTTACTATGACCATCAGGACTGTTATGTCATGGATTGTCTGTATGGAACTGAAAAGGAACTAAAAAAAAGATGGTCTGTTTTATGAAAAGAAATTGCATGTCGATGAACATCAAGCAAGCAAGCACATGAACTAATTGTAATAAAAAGATCCAGAACGTCATTTCTTCAAACACAGGGTGATGGCTCCCTGTTATACAGGACTGGACTAGTACCTTCATGCTCAGAAACAAAGCCAAAAGTTTTGCAGCGGCGTGTGAAGCACCTAAGGCTGTAGAACATATACTATAACATCGCCCCAAAAAAAGAAAGTTCGGTTTATTTTTGGATGAAGCAGTCTTTGATATCACACAGTATGAAGGCATGCTGGATCTGTAGAAGATAATTTCTGCAGAGAACTGCTTATATTTGAGATATTAGACCTACATGTCACTTGTACAAAAATTTTTTAATAAACAGTACAATTCTTCAGTTATCCACCTGTTCTCTGGCAATGCTACCAAAATTCCAGGTGTTCCCTAGGCATGGATTTATGTTTTAAAATGACATAAGGTGGGAGATTGTGTCCGTCACTAGTGATACCTATCATTATGGTGCACCTCTTGTTTTTTCTGCTCCTAAAGTTCTCACTGTGTTTTCACCAGATTTGTTTACTGTTGTTTCACCTGGCATATTGAAGAATGCAGAGGTTTCAAATGTGTTTCCAGTTGCCCTCATTCTGTACTTGTGTGTCTTCTTTTTTTAATACAATTCCTTGGACAGCTAAGAAAAGCAGCACAGATGTTTTGAAAGAGACAAATTTTCGAACACAGCTTATCACAGACATCAGAAAGAAATTCCAGGTGTTCCCTAGGCATGGATTTATGTTTTAAAATGACATAAGGTGGGAGATTGTGTCCGTCACTAGTGATACCTATCATTATGGTGCACCTCTTGTTTTTTCTGCTCCTAAAGTTCTCACTGTGTTTTCACCAGATTTGTTTACTGTTGTTTCACCTGGCATATTGAAGAATGCAGAGGTTTCAAATGTGTTTCCAGTTGCCCTCATTCTGTACTTGTGTGTCTTCTTTTTTTAATACAATTCCTTGGACAGCTAAGAAAAGCAGCACAGATGTTTTGAAAGAGACAAATGTTCGAGCTTATCACAGACATCAGAAAGAGTCAGTCCTCATTTTGGTCATGTTGTGAAAAGAGGGAAAATGGAGCATGTTGTGACTACTGGAAAGAGAGCGTGAGAAGATTTTTGAGAGTCTTTTGTCATTGCATGGAGGGGTGTCAGCACACGAACTGATGCACACAGCCGCGGATCGCAGATTGTGGAGAGGCATAATCAATTACGCCAGTCAGCAAGGTACTTGATGATGGTGTCTTCTATAACTTCACAACATGTCTTTGAAACACAGTCAGTTTCTCATGGTAACTGTTGGGAAGTCGCTACACCATTGTTGTCAATTCCTGCCATAAGCGACCTGCCCAGACAGATGCTGTAGGTTCATTTGGCTGTTCTTCTTCTTTGCAATTGGTTTCGTTTACTCAGGATATAAATTATTTTGCTTCAGCAGCAATTCTTCAGGGGTTTCCAGAGTTTGTCTCGGCTGCCTCTTCCCTCTGGCTATGTGTTTTCTCGCAAATTTGCTGTAGGGGGACAGTTCTGCAGTATGTGCTTATGTGTTTGGAGTGCAGTGTGGTAGATTGTGCAGCCTTCATTCTGAGCATGTGTTCATTAAGTCTGAATGGTTCTGTTCTTAGTCGAAATATGGTTACTGCCTTCTGTTTAGACTATTGATTGAGTCATCTGAATTACAGAAAATTCTTTATTTTCCAACTAAAACCTGTTAGTAGAATATGTATTATGCCTCATAGCACCAACCAGATCATTCTTCTTTTCTTTTGTCAAAATCTGCTTGTGCCGCTAGGCGTCGCAGTCTATCAGATGATCGGCAACCGAGCCAGGGCTCGCTCAGTCGCTTCATATGCCGTGATGTTATGAAGTCTCAAGTTGTCCGTGACTCCTTCAATCCATCTTCTTCTTGGTCTTCCCCTGCCTCTTGTTGTTTCGATTTTCATGTTGTATGCTCTTGATGCTGGCATCGTTGGTTCCATTCTCATTAGGTGACCAAACCATTTCATTCTTTGCTTCTCAATAAATTTAACGATGGGTATGGTTCCAATAGTTCTTGTAATCACATCGTTTCTCACTCGATCTCTTCTGGTTTTATTCGCAGCCATTCTCAAACATCTCATTTCACAGGTGGTTAGTCTTCTCTCATGTTCTTTTGTTAATGTCCAAGTCTGACATTGATAACCTAATGTCGGTATAAAGATTGTATTTATAATTTGTCTTTTTATCTCAGCTGGGACAGCAGGGTGTTTTAAAATTGGGGCAAGCTGGTATGCGACATTGTTGGCTTGTTGGATTCTTGCTTCAATCTCTCTGTCTATTTTACCATTGGATGTAAAGATACTTCCCAGGTATTTAAATTCTTGCACTTGTTTTAGGCTGTGATCTAGAATCTTTATGTCGATGGTCTGTTGCTCTCTACTTATGCTCATGACTTCTGTCTTTTCAGTATTGATCTTCATATGATGCTTGAGGCAACTGTCGTGTAGTAGGTTCATGTGGTCTTGCAGCTGTTTACTATCACTGTGAAATATGCATTGATCGTCGGCAAAGAGCAGCTCATTGAAGTCCTCCTGTTTATCGACATCTGTTGGTGTTATGTCTATTTTGTTAATATTGTCAATAAATATTATGAAAAGTAAAGGTGATAATACACAACCTTGTCTTACTCCTGATGTTACTGGGAACCAGTCTGTGATGCCAGCTCTTGTTCTAATGGCGCTTTCACTTTGTCTATAAATAGCCCTAACACAATCTAAAATTGTTCCATTTATACCGTAGTTTTCAAGAACTTTCCATAATAAATTTCTGTTTACTCTATCGAAAGCTTTTTCTTGATCTATGAAAGCGATGTTCATTTGATGTCTGTGTTCTATTGTCTTTTCGCTAACTTGTCTTAAAGCAAAAATAGCGTCAGTACACCCTCTTCCTTTCCTAAATCCGACCTGTGATGGGCTCAGGATCGGTTCTACAACGGATCTAATTCGTTGTTCCAGAATTTTGGCAAACATTTTTCCTACGTGGCTTAGAAGGGAGATACCTCTGTAATTGTTACAATCTTGCTTATTGCCTTTTCTTTTCCAAATTGGGACTATAAGAGCTCTTTGCCAGTCTATTGGTACAGTTCTTTCATTCCAGGCTTTCCTAAATATGTGGAGTAGCCAGGTGACTCCAATTTCTCCACAAGCCTGTATTGCCTCGGCTGATATTCCATCAACACCTGATGCCTTATTTTTGGGACTGCATCTGATTGCTTCTCTGACTTCTTGTTCGATTATGGTAGGCTGTTCCTCGTTTGTACATCTGGGTGTGAATGGTACTGTTTCCTCATTTCCTGTTACATTCAGAAGAGTCTGAAAATATTCTTTCCACCTTTCTCTGATCTTGCCCTCCTCATGTAGGGGTTTGCCTTGACTATCATTGACATATTCAGATGGCTGGAATGGTTAATCTCTAGTCCTCATTTTTGCAATGGTTTTGTAAAACTGTCTACTAGATTTAGCACAGATTTTGGTAAGATTTTCCCCATACATGATCCAGGATGTTTCCTTGGATTGTTTAATTTCTCTTGCAGATTGTCGCCTGGCAATTCTGTACTTGATATAATCGTCATCTGAGATCATTACTTTTTGTTATTCAAATGTGGAATAAGAGGGCTATAAACTTGAATTTAAACAAACCTGGGCGGGATGTGTTTTATATTTTATTTAAGAATTGTGATCTGAGTAAATTGTTATGCTTGGTTCAGTTTAGCTCATACATGATTATATTAATTTACGCTGAAAATGTGTAAATTTTAAAAAATAGTGTTTGTTCTTGGCAGCATGAATGTTCCCTTTATTAATTGTGTAATTTATTTATTTCAGTGTCATTGCTATCGTGACATCCTTTCTGGAAATAGTATTCCTTCTGAACCATGTTGTTGAAGTCTGTGCCAGGTAAGGCTCCAGTACATCTTAAAAAATATAATTGATGTAATGTAATGTTTCATTTGATTAAAAGAAATATTGACATACACTAAGCAGTCAGATAAGTGCAGAAGAAGAAAAATCTGAAATTTGCAGGACATGCTTAGAATCAGCCAATAGCAACATCAGCTTCAGCAATACTGATCACTGGTTATGAATCATGTGCTAGACCCATATTTCTAGAGAATAAATGGCACTCAGTGGGTCAGCATCTTGTCACTTGCCTTTACTTTTAAGTGTATTCTTTAGTTCTGGGTTAGTTTTAGTTACTTAAGTCTTTCCTCTTGAGCCTAAGGCGGCACATAGGACAAGGTCATAGCTGTCCATGTCTGGCTGTTTGTTGCCACCTGTTTTAGGTCTTGGATGCTCATTAGGCTCATGGTTGAACCTTCTCTGACGACGGTTCTGTGCAGGATCTCTTTTGGTCTTCCTTGTTTTCTTTTCCTTTCCGGTGTCCATATAAGGGCTTGATGGGGGAGTCTTATCTCATCCATTCTGAATGCATGACCGATATGGTTCCAGCTGCGCTTTCTTGTGAAATTTGATACTCTATCTGACTTGGTCTTTTATCTTACTTGCAAATAGGATCTTGGATCTTTACAGTGGAGATTTAGTATTCTTCTAAGATATCTGTTCTCAAAATTATCTAAATTTTTTTTATCTAAAGCTTCCGTTGCTTTCCAGCTCTCACATCTAAGGTAGAAGTGAACCTTCAGCTTTAGACTTAAAAATAGTCAAGGGGTAATTAAGAGACAGAAAAGGTGGGAGGAGTTGAGTGGTGGACCATACTTACAATCACCTAGTGATTTTATTCAGGAGGATATCTTTTCTATGCAATAGAAAATGTTTGACAAAAAACAAAGTATCTATCAGCTTTACAGGTCCAGTTACAATTGACATAGCATGTTGTGATGGTTAGCTTTGGTCAGCAAAAAAAAAAAAATAAGAAACAAAATGCAAAACACACAAATCTACTGACTCTGAAATGACTTATGACAGTATTCAAATCTTGTGTAAACAAAGGAGGCAAAAGGCTCTTGAGTGAGCACAAGAAGGGCCGTAATCAAAGGGACTCATGTCACACAAAGTGAATCCATGTCTCAGAGTTGGTAAAAGGATTTAATCTTACAACAGGAGAAATACACCCTGATGAGTGGACTTCTCAAAAGTGTTAAGAGAATAAAGATAATGGGCCAAAACATTTGTTATATGTTGGGATGAGTTTTAAAAAAATGCATAGGTATTATGTGACCGTATTCAATTAACAAATCAATAGACGTAATACCAAAGTGCATATTTTCAACGTCTTTCAGCCACACCAGTTTGTTTATGAGCGTATGGGATATGATCTTGAGCTTTGATGACTGGAAGAAGGGTGGCCTGTACTTTATTCTCTTTGCCCCACCATGTTTTGTGAAGCCTGCAGAGGTCATGCTGGGCATTCCTGCAGGTGAGTGACCTCTATTTTACCTTCTACATATGTTACTTTCTATCCCTGTTGACATCCTGGTACAGAAGTCCAACCCATTCTTGCTATGTCCTCCAATGAAGCTACCATCTTAATGTCTCTGTGCTCAAATTACCCAGCAGGAGTTTTTTGCCATATCTTCTTTCTTTGCCCTACAACCAGTTTCTGCTTGCTTGTCCTCGTTTAATACCCAATTCCAACAGGCGGCTCATTGTTGTGGATTCCTTTGTTTTAGTCTCTTGAACACAGCACATTCAGTATGTCTGCCCTGTCCATACTTCTTCCTCCATCAACCACTGTAAACATAGCCAGTCGACTCTTTCATTTCCTTTGACCCTGGCATCACCGTTTGTATACAGTCAGGATAGTTTCTTGAGACTGGACTTCTGCGTGCTATCAATGCATTCTAGTAACAGTCTGCCAGTTTGGATCATCTTATGCATGCTCATTGAGTCTGTCGCTATAAATACATGAGCTGCTTTCTGTTCTCCCAGCCATGCAAGTGCTCTTCTGACAGCTGCTGTCTCTATTGTCATGCTAGATGTAGCTCAACTGAATGCCTGGTTTCCTTACTTTACTGTGGTCCCATTCACCTACGCTGTGTATGCCCAACCAGACTGCACTCCACGAATCACTGCGTCATCTATATAGATGGATGCTGACATCACCTGGTCGAGTAGAGCCCTTATTTCAGCATCAGCAACTGTTTGGCAAAAGGTTTCCATGGTGATTATTATGCCAATGTGTGTTACTGCATTTTTGTGTGTGCTTCTATCCCCATTAAGGTCTGATCCTGACATGTTCCAGAGGGCATATTTGGCTTATGGTGTCCCCTGCTCCCTCCATCCAGGACTGCTCCCTCTTTAGACACTTACCTTTGTTCATCCATAGGAAGCTATACAGAGGGTGTTTGATGTCAGAAACAACATTCAGGTTTGCACTTGCCTGGGCTGTCTTGTGTCTGTTGACCACGTCTGGCAGGTCGATGTTGTATCAATGTGATATGACGTGCCTCTTGTGCACGAGAGAATCAGTCTCATGGCTTCAGTTTGCACTTTCTCTAGTCTTTCCAGCTGACTGAGAAGGCCAAGCCCCTTGTCAGTCACTGAGAGCACCAAACACTGATAAAGCAGAAGCAGTCGTCTTTGTTACATCTTAGCTGCAGCCATCTCCCTGACCACCAGCATGGCCTTTATTAACCTTTGTAATGACATCATCGACATCATCTCGAAAGGACAGACAAAGCAGATACCAAGATATTTAAGATCTAGTGACCTTTTTGTATCATCGTCCCACATACTGACAGTGGCGTGGACATCTTGACAACTATTGTTTAGTGAGAACCATGTCACTGTAGCCTTGGCTGGGTTTACACTCATCCCTGATTCCTCAGACCAACTGGTCAGTCAGTCAAGTTCCTGCTGAGGTGCTTTAGTTGTCTCCTCTCTGTCTGTACCCTGCCAGCACGACAGTACTTCATCAGCAAAGGACATATTGCACCCCAGTCCCAAAGTCTGGATGTGCGTGACCCCTGAGGTAACCAACTCCGGCATGATGGTCCGCTGCTTCGACATCCATGTCCCACATTGCAACACATCCCTTCTTTTAAAATCAGATTAACTGATGCAGTTGATCAGGGTTGGATCACCAAGGCCTGGTCATCAGCAAAGAGTATTTAATTATTGTTACTAACATGTGTCCGTGGGTATTATATAACTTAATTATGTCTGTATAATTATATATAATGCTTATGTTTTTAAAAATTATTAGTGACTGATTTAAACTGTGAAATACACCATCGAGAGGTTTAACGAACATGTATTTTCCTGAATAAACAGCAGCACAGCAAATATAGCAGAGTTGTCTTTTTGACTGATGCTATGTCAGTTCTACAAGTATTTGTTAACCCAAAAGACACTCAATTTGTAGACTTGATGCAACAGCTGATTCCCCTAGGTTCTTTAGAAGAACAATCAGTAATGCAGTGGATTCCAGGTCACTGTGGCTTTGAAGGCAATGAAATAGTGGACAGATTGGCTAAAAGCAGCAGTGACATGGTACAACCAAACAGTGACTTAACCCACCAAGAGACTAAGACATTAATACTATCTAGTATCCAAGAAAGGTGGCTGGATACACACACCAAATTCCAGCCTCAAGATTCGCTTCATAGTCTCTCAGTGTATTAAATTCAGATTAAGGACAGGGCACAACAGACTTGGTCAACATATGTTCAAACTTTTTGGCGTAGGAAACACGGAGACGTACCACTGCAACTTGGCACCCGAAAATGCTGAGCATGTGCTCCAACACTGTCAGCTGTATGCTGACAACAGAGACGCAATCTGGCCTGTTCCAACCAAAATGAAGACAAAACTGTATGGTACACGAGAAGATATGTACTGCAAAATAAATTTCATAATGGCTACCGGCCTCCTGATATGTTTTCTGACAGAAGATCGAAGAAGAAGAAACATAAACTTCATAGTCTCAAGCCATTAAAAAAAATTGATTCTTCCTACAAGTGCAAGTGTTAACTTAATTATTGGACAATTAAAGCAGCAGCTAATTTGAGGTTGTTGACATTGCCTTAAAGCAGCGGTTCTCAACCTGTGGGTCGCCTAAGACCATCGGAAAACACATTTTCACTCAAGCTAGAAAGTAGCAAAACAAATAAATTTATGGTTGGAGGTCACCACAACTGAGGAGCTGTATTAAAAGATCGCAGTATTAGGAAAATTGAGAACACTACCTTAGAGTTTATCCTAAAATTGAAAGTGGACCACATAATTGTCTGCTCTGCATATGTTGGATATTTTGCAGCAGATGTTTAGCTGTGAATTATCGGTTCCACATTTTGCAGTTCTGTAGCTCAGAGGTTAGCGAATGTGGTTAACGGTTTCATGATCCTCGAGTACCATGGTTCATTTTCCTCTGTAGATGGAACATAATCCATTCTCATGGTTTTCAAACAGTGGTAGGAGAGTCACACTGTGGAAGAGACTGGGACCTCACCACGTAATATTCTTGAAAACAGCTGTTGTAGCCAACCTTCGTGGTAGGGGATGGCACAGAAAAATTAACTGTTAATCGGTTTCAGCTATATTCAGCAAGTAGTTAAGCCATTTGCCTCGCTCTCTGAAGGTCGTGGGTTCCTTTTAAGGTGGCACCGCTGAGTTCACGGGTGCAATTTTTACAGAGATCCCTGAGGATCGTCGACGCAGCTACGGAGGTCGTGCTCTGTGCGACGCTCTCAGCAGGTAGCTAGCTGTTCTGCAGAGAGAGACTGAGCCATATGGGATAAAACCTGATGCAATGAAGTCGATCCTCTCTCCTTTACTCTGTCTAGATTATTTAGCAGGTGGTATTTCAGCCTCTTATAATTACTGTTTGAAGTCTAAAGGTTCAGGCAGCCTGTTAAAAACTTGTTCAGTTTATTTATGTTGGTAAAATTTATAATCTTTCTGTTGACCTAGTTTAATTTCTACTTAGTTCTAAAAGCGCTTCTTTTAAACCTCTCTGCCCCGCAATAGTTTATGTCTGTGTCAGGCTACTGTAGTTTCTCTTTATTCTGCCAATTTGTCAGCCTCTTCATTTCCAGGTGTGTTATAATGAGATGCATTATAGATTTCACATATATTTTATAGAGTACTACTCTTATGTCTGCTAAGTCTATATATTTTGCTCTTCAGAATTGACAACTGATTTCATGTCTGTGAAGGCAGCTTAGTGATTCTCCTAATTTGTTTTCTTCTTTCGACAGCATTTCTGCTGCAGTTTTTCTCTACTCTAATATTGGCTCTAAATTGTTTGTCCCCCGTGATGACAGATTAGTCTTCAAATCCCTGTCATGTGTCGTTGATTATCATATCTGTCCACATCCTTCTTTCTGTTCACTGCCAATCATTTCTGGTACAGGTATCGTTCGTTACCATGATGCTGAGCTATGCACTCTATGTTCTCTTGGTCTTTGCCTGCCTCTTTTCCCCTAAAACTTTTCTGTTATCGTGACATACTCCAGTTTTGCTCTTTTCATCACATTTTCTCCTTGTGCTCTCCTTGCTGATGGCAGCCCAACAGGGCAAGCCCATTTACCACTCATCTGTTGTGGTAGTCTTTTCTGAGTCACTTTTTTTATTTTAATTCATTTTCTGTCAAAGTTATTTTTATTTTCTCTCATATGTGAATCTCAGTTTTATTTACTCATTGTCTCTCATAGTTGGGTAATTATAATTCACACTTTGAGCCATTATAATGTAACGGCTAGATGCTCTGCTGGTTTTAAGGTCATGGGTTCAAATCTGAACAGCGCCAGACTTTTCAAAAATGATCTTATCTCCTAGGTCGTCCCAGCCTTGAATGAATGCCAGGTAAGGTAAAGTCCTGGGAAGTAAAGATGGCTAGTGTGATATTGACCACATCACCTATAGAATGAAGATTCTCATCTTCTTGTTCAGCATTTCGAGCCCTTGAAGTTCATTGCTGCAGATATCACCCGCCTCTACTCATCTCTCTGGTTGGCCTTCTTTTTTTTAACTGACATTAAGTGTTTGCAGCTCTGTCTGGACATTATCTCTCCATCGTCTTCTTGGTCTGCCTCATGGTTTATGACCATTCAGCTTCATTGTATATACAGTTTTAACCTCTCCTCTGACACTCTCTCAATATGCCCCTGTCATTTCAATCTATTAGCTCTCATAATGTCAGTGATCAGTGGTGATTTAAACAGATTATGAATTTTGTTGTTGCTTCTCACTCTCAATTCTCCGCTGTTTGCATCTTTGATGGGTCCAAAGATTTGTCGTAAGACTCTATTTTCAAAAAAGAATAATACGGCTTCATCTCTTTTGGCTTTTCTCCAAGTTTCACAGCCATATAAAACGATTGGTCTTATCAACATTTTATGTACTTTGATCTTGGTGTTACGAGATAGAGACTTTGACCTTAGCAGATGTTGAAAAGTGTATTTCTTTTCCCAGCGTGTTGGAGCAGTTAAAGTTTGCACCCGCATACTTGAATGTTTTCTTTTATTTGATTTTCATATTATAGATTAGAATATGGTCAGAATTAATATCCTTGGTGTTAATCAATGAGAGGGAATGGAGAAGACTGACCACCAGAATGATTGGGGGGGGGGATGTTAATGGATTATTGACAGAGAAGAATGCTGGTTATGTTGGCAAAGTGGTGCAGAAGGCTGTCAGTGATCAAACTTATCAAGAATAGAGATGATGGATGTATGATTTGGTATCATATTGTTGTCACAGAGCATGTTGAGAAAGGTTGAAACAGGCATGCTACATGCGGAGTGGCAAGCAAGGTCCTAGGTAGATTGCTTTCTTTGGATATGTTTTCCAGATTATTCTGTTGTTTTAGAAACAGACAGACTGGCTGGTTCTACACCAGGGGTGGTGAATTGATGCATGACAAGCAGGATGTTGCAAAGGTCCTTTGCGGAGGCACAAGTAGATCATCACGGTCTGAGAAGAATGGTGCTGCGAGGATTGACCAGTGCTCAACACACTAGGGAAATATACAGAGACTGTTACTAGTACCATCAGAATTGGAACTCTGTGCTTACTGCTGAAAATGGAGATGGAGCACTTATGGGAATGTCCCGAGTACTGGATGTCTTATTTTAAAATTCAGTTGCTGTCAGTGGGGAGCCAACCTCAGACAATTTGAGTATTTCAAGAGTTGTTTCCTTACCTAGATTTTTGTTTTGAATCTGTCAATGTTTCTAATAGGCTGCCTGCTGATAGTTACTGGAATTTTTTATATGTTGAAAACATTCAAGACCAGACGGGATGAGGAGAATGCCAGCATACTGCAAATTGCACCTTATGACAGGTAAATGCTTATATTGTTTTTTCTCCACATATATTCTGTGCAACGAGGCCATTGCATGCTTCAGTGTCTAATGATTAATTAATTTTTGTTTTTAACATTAAAGTGGTCAGCAGACTCTGACATCTTTTTTCTTTCTCCCCAATGTGGATTCCAGGGCTCTATTTTGGGGGAAACACAGAATAGGCGCTCTGCTCCCCTAATAAGCATTGTCATAAAAGGTGACTATTTAGGGGTTTTTCCTTCACGGTTGGAGTTCATCTACCTGAGAGGCAAGGAACCAATAGACTGGATAAAAAATAAGCTAGATCTGTAAAATGGATATGCATGCAAAACTCAGGTTCTGGAACAAGTCCAGAAGTGGATGAACAACCAGAACTTTCTGCCAATTTACAGTCAGTGAATGCTAAGATCTTCTGCAAGCCCTTGCTGTGTGTTGTGGTTACCATATCTGTCCAGCCCCCCCCCCCCCCCCCCCCTATTTTCAGCCCTCCCCCATCCCACTGCCATATGTCCACGTTTAGATATGTATTTTTACAAATATACTCACAGCTGTTGCTCTGATGGTGTGTATGAAGACAGGCTGTATACCTCACAGGTTCTTACCATTTTGCCTACACAGCAGCCTCTGCCTAGCACAGCTAAAGTGACCAGTCTTGAATACCATTTACATACCTTTCACACCTTTACTTAACTCTTGAGCCAGGAGCTAACCTGGTGCTCTCTGCCCACTGAGTTGTTACCAGTATGTGTGGAAAGAATGGTACAGCAGCGACCAACACGGGATCTGGCCGACTCTTTACTCTCAGAGGAAAGGCAGAGTGGACATATAATCAGACTGCAACATTGACATTGGAACTCACTACCGGCTGCTGACGATGAGGATGTAATGCTTATGAGAGTGTCCATAGTGCTGTGATGTCTGTTCTTACTGTATATTTATTCTCAGTGTAGCATAGTTAAAAGCAAAACTGGGAAGTCTTGTGTAGAACTTATTAAAAGTTTATTACTATTAAAATGCATATATTTACAGTTAGATTTACTCTCAAAATGGTCTGGGTAAAGAAGCATAATCCTTGAAGCAGTGGCAGTCAGAACAGGCGATCCCAGTTATGAAAACAAAAGTATCAGCTGGTTAATCTTAGACTTCTGTGGTGAGATGTCCCGTGTAACATGAGAGAATGTGATTGTCTGCCAAATGTAAAAGATTCATGTTTTGTGTTTCATTATATGTTAAAGTAGTAAAGAAAAGACATTTTTCCACGCCTTTTAGGCGTATGGGGCATGTAGAGCTAGACCTATATTTTTTAGACCAATGAGCACAAGATGGGTGATGTGGTCAGCACCGTGTTGGCTGCCTTTACTTCTCAGGACTGCACCCAGTGCCCACTCAAGGCTGGGATGACCTGGGAGCCATGGTCATTTTTGAAAAAAGTCAGGCTCTGCCAGGGAGCAAACCCATGACCTTCTGAACCGCAGGTGAGCATCAAGCCGCTCCACCACAGCAACTCCTATGTTGAGGTAGACTCTGTGTAATGTAGCCATTGAGATTCAAGGAAATATGCCGGCAATAAATTATGCAGCATATTGTTTGTAACCTCATTTTTTTTTTTTTAAGTAGCTACGTGTGACAAGGACATTTTGTGCTTCATTATTGGTGGAAATTTGTGACTTGCAGGTTTGCAGAGGCCCCAACAGAAGACATTGAGGATGACATTGTCACCATGACAAACAACCCAACCAGCGGCATAACAAGTGTAGCAGAGCAGTCAGAAATTTTGGACTTGTAGCAGTAGGACAGTTAACACTTTTTTGTGATCTGAAGAGAGTTGAACATTATTTCAAAAGTTGTCTGTTGGCCCGACACATGAAAAAATATGTAAGGTTGTTCTTAAAATATTGTGTCTTTTTTACACGTGAAATTGATATGTTATTGTCTTTTTTACACGTGAAATTTATATGTTATTGCACATATATGTTATTTATGTGAATTTGTCAGAAATTGTTCTCCAATTTTTGTTCCCAAGTTTCTACATATGATTAATGTAATGTGCATTTTCTTGATGCCAAGCTGTGACTGAAAATAACTGTACTTTCTGTTTTGTTTTGAATTTGTAAGTGTGGGTCATAAAATGGACTGCAGACTGACTGCTTTCATCGTGTAGCAGATCCTTTACAGAAACATTGCTCTTATCATGGCATGTTGAAAGGCCAGTCTGTCCCCTACTAACTTTCCCACCTCATGAACTTTCATACCCAAGGATGTCCTTGATATCCTGTGTCCATTGACATGCTGTCTCTAAACCCTAATTGTGTCTTATATGACTGGAATGTGAAAGATGAGTGTTTGAAAGAGCTGAATTTAAGACGTTCTAGCGTGTCCAATTTATGACCCTTTGGAAATAAAGTTTGTTTAAAGTATGTCAGTTTAGGAGAAACAATACTGTTTATGAATCCTCTCAATTTTCACATCAGTACTTCCTTAAATGTTATACTGTTGTTAACTGTTAGTTATTTACTCTTATTTCCAACTTCGTTGCAGTGGGTCACCCCATGGTATCTCAATTTCTGTGCCAGCGAAAACAACATGAAATGCCTATCAAATGTCCTATGTGAAAAGTGCAAGAGATAGTAGTCCCAACAATTCATAAGGCAGCAGCCAGAGTTTGATTATTAGCCATCTGCCACTGCGACTGCAACCCACCTAGAGGTTAAAAAATTTATGCCTCCAGCTATGTGGGTAAAGAAGATTAAAAAATATATTTGCATCAAAGCAAATGGGGATTGTGCTGCAGGAGATGGGTGATGCTTGGTGTGAGTTGGTTGAAGGCCTCTGCTGCATTGAGAGGCGATAAAAGGGACAAGAAGAAAGTGTTAATAATTTTTTAGACGCATATTTCAGACTTCACTTCTATTTACATTATCAGTATAGTATAATATTCTGGAAAGTTTTTAAAAAGTAAAATAAATACACTCTTAAAATATGTTAATATCGTAGTTTATTAATTGAATAGCAAGTCTCTTGGTAAAAATACTCTAAGAAATAAAATATGGCCACTCATTCTGTAGCATCTGGTGATAAATATGCCATTAAACTTGTCCTGCTTATGACTACACACTTTTGCTTTATACTTTAACAAGATAGTTGCATTTGTACATTTACTTACAAAAAAAGCATTGGGATACTCTCCATTATCTTGAATAATGAAATTGTACAATAATCTTGCACATGTTCATACCTTTAACCCTTTTAAATAATGAAACTGTATGTCTGTATGCACACTGATGACCTGGTTCAAGTTGACAGCTTAAATGTGTTTTTACCTCGTCTCAGAAGTCATTTATGAGCTGCAATAGCTCACGTAGGAGCTGCAGTAGCAGAGTGGCTAGCCCGTTGATCCAAAGGTCAAGGTTTTGAGTCTATGATATAGTGGATTTGTTTATAATTGATGTAGGCTTCCAGGTCGACCTTGCCTAATATGGGTAGCAGGTCATCTCTTGAGAAGTAAATGTGGTCAGTATACCTACTGCATCACCCATTGAGTGTCATTTGAATCCTTTGTGTAGTTAGCATGTAACATTTTGTGTGTGCATAGAAGTTAGTTAGTCGACAGATTATCCTAATCGCACATAGAATTATTCAGTGCATAAGTGCTTTGATTCCATCCTCAGTAAATCCTGCTGCATATAGCGGCTGGTGACAACAGTTCTGTTCGTTCCTTATTCTTCTTTGGCTTCCTGCCTAGTACTCTTGTCTGGCCACACCCTATTTAACATGCTGTTCTTTAAGTCTGGTCAAGGTTGCAGATTCAAAGTCATCACGTGGTTCTTGCACATGTCTTACTGCTTTGTAGAGCATTCATTATATTTGCCTGGTCTCTGGCCTGCCCACTCTTCACAGCAGTCACACCTGCAAGCCTATCAGCTTGCTGATTTTCTTGCAAACCTGCATGTCCTGGTATGAAAATGAAACATGTTCATCAGCTATGACTGCCTCAGAGTCATAAACCACTAGCTTTGGATCCAGTCAATCTTTACCTAGAAAGTCTAGCTATTATGTTGTGAAAAAAGAGCATCAAAATGAATAGAAACAGACACAATACTTAAAAACTGTCTGAAAAAAAATCAACACAGAAATGCAGCTAGCAAAAGACAAACACTTATAACTTTCTACTGTGATTAAGACTAGACCTTCTTCTTCTTCACTTCCTCTTTTACTGCTTTGGATGTTGAGGGAGATATAAGATTATGCTTCTTGCTTTTCTGACTGCCTAGACCATAACCATATCATGCTGTTGCAAAGTTTCTCTGATCTTATTATTTCCATCTTCATCTAACTTGTGCTCTGTGTCCTTCTCCTCTTTTGATGTATGCCTTGTATGTCATGGTATGGCGTAACATGCTGTTCTCAGATATTTAAACTCAAATGCCTGTTGAGTGCCTTTGCACTCTGCAGCTATATTTAGGTTCTGCTAGACTAGGCATTACATGATTAAACTATGAAGTTTGCTTTTTATGTGTCTCTAAATTTTTTTTTATTTTTTTTTTAAAAACTTTTGCCATCTCCACAAAGGAGGTTGGCAGCAGTAAATATAGGCATCTGCTGTTGCTTTAAAAAATATTTTTGTTGTACGGTCTCAGTCTCTTCCACTGTGCAACTCTCATGCCATTTTCCAAAGGACATGAGTATTATCTTTTTCCAAACGGCCAACAACTATTATATATTATGTAAAGAATCATAAAGTGCACTTACTAAACTCTAAGCCACACACTCTCAAAATAAGACATGTAGCCAAAGACATAGTAATTTTCATTAAAATGTTCTAGAAGCAGTGAGTCAGGTCCCAAAATGTCTGCTTGGAGTAAGAACGTATCACCGATCATAAAAACCTGAGCTTTTTTCTGTCATCATTATTCGATTTTGATTTGTCAGAACTCATGATTCTTCCTCACGTTTACTGACTGTAAACTCAGGTAGAAAGTTATGGTTGTTTGTTCACTACTGGACTTAAGTCTTGTTCCAAAACCTGAGTGTTGCGTGCACATCTGTTTAATAGATCTAATTTAAGTGTATGTAGATTGTTGGTTCCTTGCCTCAGGTAGATGTACTCTGACTTCGAAGGAAGCCCTCAATTTGTCGACTCTTACGACATGCTTCTTGCAGAGGCAGTGGGTCTTTTCTTGTTTTCCCCACAGTTGGGCCCTGGAACCCCCAGGGGGAAAACTAATGATTGATTCTGAAAAAAACCTTATATTGATTCTGTACATTTTAACATAAAAATGGCTGCCGATGGAAAGCATTCTGTCTGGTTTTATAAATAAAAAATTGAAGCCCCTAGTAAAAGTTCATGTCTAAAATCCCCTAGGTTTGTTTGCTGTGCTCTGGTTTATCAAGCTTACATAAATGAGATTTACTCATTTCTAGGTGTTGCGCTTTTACTGATCTGTGCTCGTTTTCATTTTTCTATTAAGATCTGTGGCTTAGGCCTTGTGAACATGTTTTGTAATTTTGAGATGCCTGGTTCGATTCCAGCTGCAGGCGATTTGGCAGCAGCCCACACTGCATTGCTTTTTGATGATGGCGTCAAGAGCCGACTGCGAGAAATCAGTAGCAAAACTACTGAATGTAAAACTGTCTAGTAAAATTTCAATAGTATACTAGTGTTGGTTCCACAATGTCCTGGAGAAGGATGTGCAGCTAACTGTGCTTGGTTTACGTTTAGACAACTGTATACTTGTTGATGGTGTTATTCAACCTTGTTTAGTTTCTAATTTATTCTGCTTCTAATTTATTTATTTTCTTTTAACCTGTATGTGACGTTAAACATACTTTGTTGTTTTGTTAATAGAAAAACGAGCCTTTTTTTTCTTAACTTTATTGTTTTACAAATGTACAGACTTATGTTTTTTATTTGTGTAGGCAAACACACATTTGTGGGGAAAATATGTTGTGTAAGTTTTTTAAATATATCAAGAATGTAATACAGACATTGAATGCATGTCTCCTACATATTTAGCACCCAGAGCTTTTATATTTATTACAGTCTTTTAGTATGTTTTAAATTTTGATTACTGCTGTAATGAGAATGATGTTAAATGTTGGTGAAATCTCCACGTGTTTGCTGGTTGGCTGATCAGACGTTTCATTAGATTTTTGAAAACTTTGTTTTTGATTTTTTTTTCCCAACCATTTTTATTTCTGTTTGGTGTCCTTGTTTTAACAATGGATACAATAAGCTTACTCTGTGTCATGAGGTGAATGATAAGGATGATAGTATGGGGAGAAAGAATCTAATCTGTGAAAGTCATTTTTTTATTATTCGAGCTAGTAGATAAATGATGTGTGTGAAGCTCTGCTTGTGTGTTTTACTTTATATATATGTATATTGTCATTATGTTGACTTCATACATATGGAAGGAAAGTCTGACATATGCAAAAGTATTTTAGTTGCTTTTAATTTATTTTTTTATTTTTAGGTGTCGTGTCACAATCATTGATTATCTTGAACACCTCCATTATTGGCAATAATTATGACCAAAAAAAGAGGGGGGGGGGGGAACAGGCTATAGCAATAGAAGTTAAGTGAAGAGCCTATATCTAGTAGACACATACTGAAACTGATACCACATGCATTATCCCTGTGGCAACATATGGTTGTTAGTCACAGACTATTTCACAATCACTGAAGCAGAAAATGGAGGCTTTTGAACTAAAATGCGAAAGAAAAATAGTTGGAATACTGTAAATCATGAAGAAATAACTGACATACTAAAAGATGCAGCAAACAAT